GCAAAAATCACGGGCCAGACTCCCAAAGTTCCGGACTGCGGAGGCTGCGAAGATCGCTTAATTCCTGGAGGTAGCATATGCTGTAGTACTTCTTCCCCTTACACCAACGGGCCGGGGTTTGCTGGAGGGATTCACCTTCCCCTTTATTACCTTGCGTCTAACACCCAAGCTGTTAAACCCCTTGCCCGCTGCCTATTTCCTCGTTTGCGCCAACGCGAACATTATTTGTTTCAATCTTTTTGCTACTGGTCACAATAAGAGGACCAGTACTTGTACCCAAAGTACTCCAAATGAAAAGCCGTACAACTCCTGCGCCTCCTCGAGCGACACCGGGCAGCCGCTGTCCCCGCACGGTTGAGGCCCTCCGCGATTGTCGCCTGGATCTCGCGCTGGCCAGGGCTCCCGGCCGTCGCTTCCCTGCGCCTACGCCGCCTCCCTGCTCGAACTGCCGCCCGCAGCCGAGCTCGGCGAAGGCTCCCTGCCAGAGCTGCATGAGGTCCTCGCTGACCCCCGGACCGACCAGGAGCAAGCAGACTGTCAGTAGCTGCAGCTTCGTCCGTGCCGACCTGGGGTTCCTTTCGTTGTGGCAAAAAGGCGATCTACAAAATAAGATGAAAAAGGCATAACACAGCAACAGCAAACTTAACAAGCCTGAAAACCACGCCTCGGCACCTAGCACCTCGCAGCACATGCTAAAGGGGAGCACGTGCGGCATCTACTCGATCTTCACCGGCTACGTTCTGAGCTGCCCCGGATCTGCGTTGCACATCAGTACCGGACGAGTGCCATGGATCCTGGAGCTTCTCCACAGGCAGTTCGGGCGAGTTGGCACTCGACGCTTTGAAGCGGCATGAAGCGGCTATACAGTCACAAGCAGTTGCGCTGAAGTGGTTTCGACCCCCGCCGAACCACTCTCATGGCAGAAGCCGTCGACCGCTGCGAATTGCTGCTGGGCCATGCATGGCTATGCGGATGACGTCGCTGGGCACGAATGAGAGCGATTCGCAACAATGGTGGTGGTGTGCGAGGCATTGCAACGGCCGTGGTTGGTGTATGTGCCGGGTATCGTCCGTTGAATTCCGTGCGACAGCACGGTGCTGCTGCGGTCACACCTGGTCATTTACAGGTGATCCATAGAATCACCTGCGGTAATTTTTCGCGGCGGCCCCGTGTTGGACCGTGTGCTCGACGTTGCCGCCAACGCAGGACGCGGACTGCACGCGAAAGCCGGCAGCGTAATAAACCCAACGCAGCAATGGTACTTTTTAGAAAAACTCCTAGCTTTCAGCAGGGCCAGGGCAGGGCTTAAACTTTTGGAGCAAGCCTAGCTCCGGATAGCAATCTAAAGCGGTCGAGCTTTTGCAACGATGCCGAATCGTGTCAGCAAAGTCTATAGGACCACGGGTGAATGAAGAGCCCGGGCTTTTAAGGCAGAACCGCTTCCCGAAAACAAGGAAGATTGGGCCAAGGGCGCAGTCAAGGGCGCGGCTTCAGGAGGAACGCCGTTTGCTCGTCGAGCTACCTCACCTTCCGTACCTTCAATGCGCCTGGTTGCTGCTGCTGTTCTGCGCATCGCCCCGCGCCAACCACGCCTTGCCAACACTACCGCCTTCCGAATCAGCGTCGTACGCGCGGGCACACGACCAGGCTGTTTGGGAGACACGCCAAGAGTGTTTGGGGGGGCGTGCCGCCTGCTGGGCAGCACGGATGGACGCGCTCCCCCGTCATCCGCTCGCGCCTGCCCGGCACAGCCGATCGTTGCCTGGTTGCTTTGGAGCAAGGCCCGGAAGGCACGATCCTGTGCTTACGCGAAGCAGCGGCAGCGAACAATTTCTTGCGAGCAGAAGGCTGGGAAGCGTGCCCTGGCTGGCGCGCTGCCTACGAAGGTGCCCGGCCGCAACAACCCTGCGATGCAGGCTCGGGCGAATGGCCTCACGGCTAGCAGTTTCACGCGACGCGGACTCGAAACCTTCACTATCGCGACCATGTGCTGCTGCCGGCTCTGCAGCCATCCTCTCGGGCTTTGCTACGCTCACAAGGCGGGGCACACGCTGGTGCATGGCTATCGGCAGTGCCGAGCGAACCAGCGCTCGCCCCGCAGTATATGCAGCTCGCGTTGTGGCGCCGCTTGCGCTTACCCTTGCCGCTTAGCCCAAACCGTTGCGGCCCCAGCCCCGGCTGCCGGCAGCAGGTGAACGAGTACGGGGACCATGCCCTCGCCTGCCCCCGCACAGGGTTGTATGCTCGCCGAGCGAAAACCGTCGAGCGGGCCTGGGTGCGTGTAGCCCGCGAGGCGGTCGGATCTGGTGGGCACGTGGTCCCTCAACAATGGCTCGTGCACACTACCGCACCGGGCGTGCCAGCTGACGACCGCAGACGGCTCGACTTAGTCGTGTACGGCACGCCGCGGGGAGGCGCACTGTGCTGCGATGCGACCTTCGTCTCACCTCTCACACGGACGGGGCATCCACAGCCCGGAGCCGCTGACACAGATGGGGCCGTGCTCAGGGTAGCTTAGCGCTGCAAACGGAGCACATACCCGGAGCTCAGCAGCGGAGGACCGCAAGAGCTCGTTGTTCTGGGCTCGGAGGTTGGCCTGCGCTGGAATAGTGAGGCTGGCCGCTTCCTACAGCACCTCATCCGCGTGCGGTCCCAAAGAGCTCCTCCGCCAGTTCGCGGCCGCATGGCCGCCGCGGGCTGGTCGCGCCGTTGGTGGGGCTTGCTGGCTGTTGGCCAGTGCCGCTCCACCCGCGTCAGAGGGATGGGCCGCCCCTCGAGCGAGTGCTCGAGCTCGCCGGACCAGCAGGGGGCCCCTGTCGCTTGCCGCTGCGCTCCTAGCACTTGGCAGCGACGACCCTACGTAGCCGTAGCAGCGGTAGTCAGCCCGCCCTGAGCCCGCCTCTGGCAGCATACTGGAAAGCCACCTCGCATGCGGAACAGAGGCGCATTAAAAAAAAAGTGCCTATGAAAGACCACCAGGCCGTACGATGTTTTGAAAGGTTCTGTTTTTTTTTTTTTTTTGAGCGGACTTTTCGAGCTGCCCAACGAAAAAGCTTCTAGCCGCGGTCGCAGCTAACTAGTCTACCGGAGGCTACGGACTACGCTACTCGCGTCAGGGCCGCAACGGCAGGCGACTCTGGCCGGCGGGGGCTTCGTGGTGGAGCAGGGTGTCCAGCGGCGGGCCTTCACAGGCTTCTGGTTGCAGTGGCTGCTCCCAAACGCCCAGTGCCGTGCTTGCGACGGCCTGCTGCACCGCAACGGACAACAAGCCCCACCAGCGCCTCGCCCAGCCGGCTGACGCCGCTGCACGGAGTGCGAGCGGGGCCCGGTGAGCTTTCAACCGGACGAGGTCTCGTACGAAAGCGCGCGCCTGGTCGTTCCAGCGCCCGCCCACCTCCGAGCCCAACACGACGAGCTGCTGCGGCCCGCCGCTGGAGAGCTCCGGGTAGGTACTGAGCTTCCGGCGTTCGGCTACCCTGAGGGCGGCGCCGTCGACCACCGCTGCGCAAGGTTGCGGGTGTCCCGTGCGTGTCAAGGGAGACACGAGTGTGGCGTCACAGCACAAGGCTCCGCCGCTGCGCGTCGCGCCGTACACAACCAGGTCGAGACGGCGCCGGTCTGCGGCTGGCACGCCAGGCGCCGTGGTGTGGGCCAGCCATTGCTGTGGCACGACCTGCCCTTCAGCCCCCAGCGCCTCTCTCGCGACACGAACCCACGCTCTCTCCACGAGCTTAGCTCGTCTGGCCAGCAGGCCGGTGCGAGGGCAGGCAAGCGCATGGTCGCCTAAAGCATCGACTGCTGCGCCGCACCCAGGGTTCGGGCCGCAGGTGCTCCCTCGCAGGGGCAGCGGCTGCCGCAACCTGCGTCGCAATGCGATTTGCATCGCGGCAGGTGGTAGCGTGGTGGCCGGCTCAGTTGGGATCGCAGCGAGCCAAGCGCCCGCCTGGGCCCCGGCCTGGGACCGCAGAAGCGCCTGAGAACCGGACGACATGTCCGGCAGAAGCACGCGCTCGCGAAAGTGAGTGATGCGTGTGCGCGAAGCATGCATCTGCCAGCCGTGTGGCCAGTCCCCGGGGCCTGCGTCTCCCGCCGGGGTTGGGCGCGTGCCTTCGAGGAGAGAGCTCCATGCAGGGCAGTCGCGCCATCCTTCCTGCTGCAAAAGAACCCGTGCCGCCGCCGCTTCGCGAAGGCACGCAGCTTCTCCGCCACAACCCTCAAGTGCTGCGACGCATCTGTGTGCGAAGTCGGGCGCGCGAGCGTGGATCACAGGCAGCGCATCTGCCCAGGCCGCCCAGTACGCCGCGGGGGCTGCGCGCTCTGCGCACTGCAAGCCCAGTCCGCCATGCACGGCAGGCAAAGTGGCGATGGACCATGCGTTGTGCGAGTCAGCTTCTGTGAAACCGCCCATACAGGACCGCAGAGTCTCCCAGATGTCCGCATCGTGCGCTTGCGCGTACCCTCGCGATTCGGATGGAGGCAGCGTGCGAATCGCGTGGTTCGCCCGGGGGGCCGCGCACATGGAGAGCAGGAGCCAACTGCACTGCAGGTCCGGAAGCAAAGGCAGCTGTTGCAGGAAGCGGCGTTCTTCCGACATGCGTTCCGCCGCCCACTGGCTGACGAAGTCTGGATGCCCGATGGGCGTGCCGAGGACTACAACGCCTCTCTCGGCTGGCGGCTTGTTGCCTCGCCAGACCGCATCGCCCAGCTCCGATATGCCAGGGGGTGGGGGCCCTGCCTCGGTGGCATAAACGCGGGTCTTGCCATCCAGACGAAATCAAGGCCCAATCGACAATTTCTTGCCAGCCGAGTCCCGGCCCGAAAGTTTGCAAATTGATGGGACTTGTTCGTTAAATCCACTCCTCGGATTGCATGGGCTCGCGGAGCCGGCGCAGCAGAAAAGCAGGGAACGCGCGTCAATCTCAACGGAGGGTGGCTCGTAGTACGAGCAGTTTGATGAAGCACGATGTGTTACTTGTAGGCTGGAGCTTGCGGATCCAGCGATGCTTTCGAGGTGCCTTGAATTAGCATCTAGCCGAAGCACGCATGAGCTTGATTGCCAGTTTGCTCGATGCCGTGAACATGTGGGTGGCACAGCCCCGCAGCGCCATCAACGACCAGTGGCTTGATTCTGACTCAACGGGCGTGGATACAGATCAGCATGCAGCATGCAGATGATGCAATGTGAGTGTACCAGCGAAGTATCAGGTTCATGCCGCATCACGTCGCCAACATGTTATATTTGGCAGCGAAGGCAACCGAGGCGTCGCTGAAACCCTCCACGAGATGCTGGTAGCTGTGCGGGCGCTGCGGGGTTGCAGGCGGGTTCGCCTTTGTTCGGGACACTGCTACCGCCGCGCTCTTAGTGTGCAGAAAGCTTGGCGAGCTAGCAAACTTTGCCGAAGTTGTGCGCTGTGATACAGCCGCTGTCGGCGAGTCAGCAACATTGTCGGAGGTATGCAAACGCACGATTAGTGGACTTTGAATTGCGTGACCTTTGTAGCTTGGCGTGGGCCGTCCGCGTCTCATCCGAAGTTCAAATTGAGCTTGTGGATATGCACGGGCTTCATGCATCCAGCAGTCCAGGTCGCACGCTCGCCCAGTCGGCAATTACCCTTGCTGAGGAGCATTTCCAGCGAGGCTGTATGCCTTCAGTTTTTTTTTGGCACGTGCGTTGATATGCAGGTGCTGGCGAAGAGGCAGAGCGTGGAGCCCATTGATTTCGTCAACATCATGTTTTGGCCTGAAGAAACAGTGTGAGCTACAGTCAAAAGCGGAAACGGAGCTCCAAAGCACATGAAAGTACTTGTGTTGAGGTCGGCAGCTGCAGAAACGTGCTTGGACTCCGAGAAATTGGCTGAGGCACTTGGGGGCAACGGAGCTTCAATGTGTAGTGTCATGTTAACGGAGCTTCAATGTGTGTCATGTCTTTGGCACAGGCATTGCAAGAAGCCTTGGAACGCCGGCTTCCGGACATGAGGTTCCAGGACGATCTGACGCTCACAATGAAAAATTGGTCTTTCATGAACGGCTTGCATCGCATGCGAGCCAGCGAGACATGTGAGGTGCGCCAGTCCGTGCTTGCTAAAGGCAGCCTCCATGTCTCGCAACAGGAGCTTGGCCATTGGATGTGGGCATTGTGGAAGGTGTCCAAGCTCAGATGCGTGAAGTACGTTGGGCGACATGATGCTAAACTAGCATGTGCCTGTATGATGCGTGTCGGGTCACGTGGTTTCCTCACAGACTGGCCTTGCAGGTGGGCATGGTCAACCCCATGCTGATGGCCCTTGCCTCACGTCCCAATGTCCACGATGGCTTGCTCACGTTGAACATGACGGAGGCCACAGTCAATCGACAAGCGGGCATGAAGGCACGCCAAGACACACATGCGCTTGATTTCTACCTGTGTTGTGGGATATACCGTGATGTGATAGGTTTAATGCAATCTCTGGCTGTGGAGCCATTGCTGCTCAAACCAGGAAAGACGGAAAAGGAGACAGGGACATGCACTTTTCGCTGAAGCATCAGGTTTTTTGCATAATGCATGCGGGATTCATTGTATGATGGACTTAACATCACAGAAGCGTTGAAGTCATTGTTGGTTTTCGTGCGGATCGTTCTGCAAACGGCTGCTTCCAGGCTCATGGCGGCACTAAGTGCTTTGCCTTTGTCCAATGCCGAGCTTCGCGCACGCCTGTTGTCACGGTGGTTCACGCCGGACGAGGCGCGCCCAAGACTGGTAGAGCATTATTGCCCGGGAAGCGTCGCAGCATCGCATCACGGGCTCCTTGAAGATTGACGACAGGCATTGCAGTCAGCTGGGCTGCGAGATCGCTGGCAGTCGCTCGGATGCTCTTGGCATTTCTCGGACATGTCTGTGCTTGACCACCGCCAAGGCTGACTGAGGCAGAGCTGCGAGAATTGTTTGAAGCCGAAGTTGAGGCAGGGTGCTCGTCACGCCCTGAAGAGCATATAATCCTATGAGCCATATAGAAGATTATGGAAGAACATGGTGGGGTGCTGACATGGGCAGGCAACATCATCGCCTGAACAAGTTAGTCTCGAGAAGCAGAGGACATGTCGTGGGATGCGTGTACTCCTTGCTCTGCCTTGGACTCTCGAGAGCTGCGTGTGCTATTATCTCAGGATTTCTTTTTAAAGCTGTTCTGTTCGTATCAGTCGTCATCGCAAAGCCAGGACAGTTTCGGCTGCTGGCCGATGGCGTCTCAGAGTTGAGGCCGAGGGACGGTGTAGGGACGTCCTGCTGACACTGCCCAATCGAGTTGTTCAAGGCCGGTGTCCAAAGACTTTGTGCACAGCTTCAGAAGCAGGCCAGTGCTGATATGTCGGAGCATTTCGGGGCTGTGAGTCGATGGCTTCCAAACGAATGGATGACTCCGCAGGATCCGGACTTCGTGCTTCCGATGATTCCTCGACGCGAGCTTCTTTTCGCCCTCTCGCATTTAGTCAGAAGGACTGGCACGAGACACAAAACAGTCTGGAGGCAAGAGACGATAGTAATTGGTGGGCTCTCTCGCTGTCTTTCTCCATCTAAGGCAAAGTGCCCCCAGGGAAGGCTTCCGTGCTTGGGCAGCTCGTCGGTGCACTGCAAACGACTGGGAAGAACTTCGTCACGCGGCATACATCAGAGCCTTTTTCAGTGAAGCTGCCGCCACTCCATGACGGTATAACTGTGTAGACCACGCGGAGGCCCACACAAGCACCCTACATTGGCTCATGCAGAGGACATTCGGGGCCGGCTTCTGGATACCTCGATCTCGAGTCCTTTGGCGAGATGGTTGTGCTCGAGGCTGGCCACATCGACGATGCCAGGGAGCCCCGCCGGCCGCAAGTGCATGACTTCTTGGGATTCGGGGCATCGCTGGACTCCAACGTGGTACTACTTGCTTTCAACAAACCGCATGTAAGAGAGCCTCATTGGCAGGAGTGGTTCCAACATTTGCAGCACCTCGCTGATGGTACTCCCTGCATTTCGTCCCAGCCTGAGCAATTTTTGTTTGTGTTTCCTAGTGGCTCCGCCATGCACGCGTGGCCAAGGTATGCGCTCTTGCAGCAAACAGCGATACGTTGCCCCAAGCTTCCGGGTGCGGCAGACTCTGCTGCACCATGGGAGCCCATTGCACTTCAGCTGGACATGTCTTCGAGCCTCAAACAGTTTCTTGTGCTCTTCGGCCCAGGAGCTTCTACCGAGACTGCTTTCAGTTTGGACAGATTTGACCGAAGCCTTCGGCTGGGAGAGCCAGGACTCGCAGCCGCTTCTCATAAGTTAGTAAGGACTTCATTACCTACCACTCTGGAACAGCAGGCCGTCTGGCGGTGTCCGGGGACGGTTGTGCGCAGTACCAGAAAAAGAGATGATCCGGAACATCATTTAAAAAGAACAGCAAACTTGATCCGACACACATGCGATTTCTTACTAGTAGGTTTTCTTTTCAGCAGAGCCACAGGGACAAGACTCAACACTCAAATCTCAATGGCACGCTGCCGAATAGATTTGCGCACAGTCTGATTGGCAAGCAGCGGGATTTACGACAAAAGCTTTGCTCGTGCAGGAATCCCGTGATGTCATCCGTGACGATGAGCAGGACGTGCTTTCGTGTTTTGGCATGGTAAAGGTGAGCAGGTGTAGTGATCTCCCGACTTGACATGGCCCGACCCCGGCATAAGGCAGACCGCCGGGCCTCGGCGGGTGAGCCACCAGCCTTGGGCTTGGGCTTGGGCTTTGCCGCCTTAGGCCGCTGCAAAGGGCAGGGGGCGACGGGTGCGAGTCCAGGCATTGGCTTCACGCTCTGCGCGGCGGTCAGCCAAAGCCAAAGGCTCCGGAGGGGTGGCCGTGGCCGCTGCTGAGCGCCTCGGCCGCCTTTCGGGTTGAGCGGAGTTCTGCCCGGTTCTGCTCTTTACAGGTGAGCCGGAGGCGCGCGAGGAAGCCCCTCGCTTGGGGGCATTGGGGCTGACGGTCGACAGGTGGACACGGACATGATTGCAGTGTCAGGATGTGCCGTGCCCACGCCATGCCTATGTAGCCTACAAGCCCGTGTGTAAGTAACTTCAAGCCTTGCAGGCTCTTCCCAAACCTCTCCGACAGACTTCAGGTCACCAAGAGCCTCGGCCTGGCAATGCTTGCGCGTATACGACGCGGAAGGTAGCTGGTGCTTGTTCTTGTGCTCAGGAACCTTTTCTTGCCTGGGGAACTTATCGTGGTTCGATACACTTTGAGAGCTGGACTCAGCCTCGCTGACGAAATGCCTGCACGTTCTTGAGCATCCTGCGGCATGTTGCTTAGGCGACTTCGGGCACTTTGGAGTTTGTGGACCGTCGCCCATGGTGCCTTGAACCGTTTTGAAACCTCCCTGCCAGCAAGATACCTCGAGAGTCACTTAGGTTCTCGGCCCAGACCTGCCCTTGGGCAAGGCGCCCTTCGTCGCTGCCGTGCCAGCTCAGCCGGAGCTCGCGGGCTTCGAGGTGCAGACAAGATCAAACTCGGTTTGTTTGCAGTTTGCATATTTGACTTCCGCAGAGGAAGCCTGGAGCCGCAGTGCTCTGGACGTCTCACTGCCACGGGGAGCCGTCCGCCTGAGGGCCCCGGGTGCTCTGCGGGGCACCTCCGTGACCCGGAGCAAAATCAAGGGACAACACAACACAGGTGCCAGCAACTTTCGGGCATTACCTTAGACTTGCGATCGGGGTACCATGTAAGATCCGGCTTCTTCGATGCAGCTGGTCAACAATTGGTAAGCAAGGGTCGGGCCTCCTCATCCTCCTTTCGTGCTGCATCTCCTCCTGATCCTCCTCCTCTTCGTCCTCCCCAGCAAAGGGCACGAGCCACTTACGAGGCCCTCACCAAGCACTCACGAGTCACGCCTCTCCCTTTCTCCCTTTCTCTAGCTTTGTCCACGTCAGCACATGCAAGGGCCCCTGCACAACCGGTCATGCGTCAGACATGTTCATCCGAAAAGCAATGCATTCTTACGAGCTGATAAGTTGGGGCAGGTGTTATTTCCTTTCAATCAACTTCTTGCTTTCTCCGATCTGGGTTCTCGACAGAGCTGCCCGGGCATATTGTCTAGGCTCTTGTTGACGAGGCGTTCTGGCACCTCCGGATCTTCGCTTCGGACAATGGGCGCACCCCAACGTCTGCAGTTAGTGCACCCTTGTTGATTCAGGCAGGGCCTCCACTTGGAAGTCAGGTGGCGAGGAATTACCTGCCTAGCCGATTCGGCGAGATGGAACGAGCATGATTACTCAAGCCTTGTCGTGGCCCCGTGTCAGGTGATGACTGTACCTCCTGCACCTCCAAGTGAAGTGGTTGCCGAGGGCAGGGACACGTCAATTTCCTTTAAGTGGGCCGAATCTCAGGCCCAATTCAGTGAGAGGATTTATTCGGCAACGCCTTACAGGTATCGTTTCCAAGATATGCCCAGGAGTGTGCTCAAAATGGCGGTGCTGCAGTTGACAGATACGATGTAGCTCTCCGGTATGCGGACTCATCCAAGTTGGCATGGCAACTTGGGCGCACATTCGCAGCAGGCATTGTGAGCCGAGGCAAGCTCTAGGTCATGCACTGCACGCATTCCCACTCCTTCGTTCCGTCGCAAATTGAGGACTGGACATGCTCAGGTACCTCAGCTGCATGTTGGGACTTCTTGGCTGTAGGCGTTCTGGGAGGAAAGCCACGGGCCGCCTATCACAAAGACTTTGGGAAACAGGGCCTTGCAAGGAGCCTGTGATTACAGCCACATCGCTGACCCCGGAAGCTTGGCGACACATTCTTTTTGCTGCGCATTTGTACATCGGGGGAAAAGTTTGTATATTTTGTATTGTGTTCACATGTATGAGGATTGTGACTATGTGGTTCAAGTTCGTGGGGCGAACCGACCCTCGACTCGGTCTGGCGTTTTGCTGGATGGCAGGATTGCAATCGGGACTCCTGTTTTTTGGAAGGCTTTCGTCCGAAGTTCGTCGCCAAACGAGGTGCCGGCTGCGGCCCCTGGAGCCCAGGGTTTGCTGCGAGGACGGTGGCGCGGCCACCTGCTCCGCAGATCCTTGCGGTCCCGCGGCGTGCGAGACTCGAGAAGGGCTGCATCCGAGAAGGTGGTTCTTGTTCTGAGGTTGGCAGGGACACAGTGCTGCTGAGATTGCCCGTTGAAAAGGCGGGCTTTGTTTCGGCCGGGATTGACAGGAAGCGTGTCGTGCTCAAGGTTGCTGTAGTGTTGCTGAGGTAGGAAATCTGACTGGCTATGTGGTGAAGGCGGTATGCTGCACGCAGCGAACCCGGCACCGTATCGAACTTGTCAGTGCAGTGCCTTTATCCTGGAGTTGCTCCTAGGACGGGCGAGCCCGAGACCTCTG